CTGGGGGGGTTTGGGCCCTGCTCGGCACTGGCATGGGGCACCTGGGCTGGCCCCGTGCCTGGTGCCTGGGAAAGCGTTCCCTGCTGGCACGGCCCGCCTTGCATTGAACGAGGAGTGCCTAGATGTGTCTGTATATATCTCTGCGTGTCTCTCTGTATAGATATGTGATTATATATTTACATATATATACGCTTATACGTTTGTATGCATTAATTTATGTATATATGTGTGTATATATCCCTCTCTATATAGATATGTGCCTATATGTTTACATGCATTCACGTGTATGTGTCTATATGCATAACTTACTTATATCTCTGTGTGTGTCTGTCTCTGTACTATAGCTCTCTATAGATATGTGCTTATATATTTACATACATAGACGTTTATACATCTATATGCATAACTTATTTATAGCTCTGTGTGTGTCTGTCTCTGTATTATAGCTCTCTATAGATTTGTGCTTATATATTTACATACATCTATATGCATAACTTATATCTCTCTGTGTGTGTCTATCTCTGTATTATAGCTCTCTATATAGATATATGCTTATATATTTACACACACAAACGTTTATATGTCTATATACATAATATTTATATCTACATGTGTGTATATATCTCTGTATTATATTTCTCCATAGATCTGTGCTTATGTATTTAAATACACGTTTATATATCTATATGTATAACTTATTTATATATGTGTGCATGTATATATATCTGTGATATGCATTTATATATTGCTAAGGAATTGGGCTGTGATGGATGTAAAATATAGATGCATATCTAATAAGATACTGTTTCTGTTCTGTCTGTTGTATGTGGAATATGCTTACATGGAATTGGGCTGTGCTACATATGATACAGATATAGAATAAGGTGTTATATCGGTTATGGATATAATCTCCCCTGACAGAGCTTGAGTCTGTGCCCTCTTGTCCTGCTGCTGGTTGCCTGGGAGAAGAGACCAACCCCCACCTGACTCCAGGCTCCTGTCAGGGAGTTGCAGAGGGTGAGAAGGTCTCCCCTGAGCCTCCTCTTCTCCAGGCTGAACACCCCCAGCTCCCTCAGCCTCTCCTCATGGCACTTGTGCTCCAGTCCCTTCCCCAGCCTCGTTGTTCTTCTCTGGACCTGCTCCAGCCCCTCAATGTCCCTCCTGAGCTGAGGGGCCCAGAGCTGAGCACAGGATTCAAGGTGTGGCCTCACCAGTGCTGAGTCCAGGGGCGGAATCACCTCCCTGGTCCTGCTGACCACACTGTTCCTGATCCAGCCCAGGATGAAATTTATGTATCTATGTCATATCTGTCACAGCCCAATTCCTTAGCTTGCATTTAAACCACAACCCATCCAAGGTGGCTTCTTCATCATTTTAGCTGGGGACATCTCTGGGTTTGAGCTTTCGGTTGTTAAGGGTTTGTTCTCCTTCTCCAGTGGCAGGTGAGGTGAAGGATGGACTCCCTGGATCACATGCTGACAGACCCCCTGGATCTGGGCCCCTGTGGAGAGGGCAGTGGCTCAGGGATCATGGAGGATTGCATGCTGGGCACCACCAGGGTCAGCCTGCCCGAGGACCTGCTGGAGGACGTGAGTAGTGCTCAGACACTTCACCTCGTTAACTCCCCCGTGGGGCTCACAGAGCTCACATCAAAGAAACAAGATCTTTCTGGCTGCTTTGGAAAAGGTGTCCAAAAGAGCTTCATTAATCTCAGGAAAACATTTTTTAACAGGATTCTCTTACATTCTTTTTCTTATTTTAAAATTACTTGTAAGAAAATTGTTACCAGCTTTGAATGTATTTCCTTGTTGTTAGCAGTACCATTAATTTCCTCACCTTTCCTCTTGATGCTCTGTTGTTTTCTGCGTGTGTTGTGACACTGTCTCATGGCTGGTGTTACTGCACCACAGAAAGCCTCAAGGATTAGACAGTTGTCAAGGACATGGATGGATTCGTTTAAGGAGATGCTGGAGGTGGCACTTCACAGAATCACAGAATATTCAGAGCTGGAAGAGACCCACAAGGGTCATCTGGTCCAAGTCCTGTTCCTGCACGGGACACCCCAACAATGCACCCTGTGCCTGAGAGAATTGGCCAAACACTCCTGGAGCTCTGTCAGCCTTGGGGCTGTGCCCACTGCCCTGGGGAGCTGTTCAGTGCCCAAACACCTCTGGGGGAAAAATCTTTGCCTAACATCCAACCTAACCCTCCCCTGACACAGCTCCAGCTGTTCCATTCCATCAGGTCACTGCCAGAGAGCAGAGATCAGTCACTCAGTGCCATGGTCTGGTTGACATGGTGGTGTTAGGTCATAGCTCAGAGGTCTTTTCCAACCTGACTGACTCTGTGATTTTCTTCACTGTTGTTTCTCACTCTCTTTAGCCTGACATCTTCTTCGACGTTGTCAGCTTGTCAACGTGGCAGGAGGTCCTGACAGATGCCCAGCAAGAGCCAGAGAGCAGAGATCAGTCACTCAGTGCCATGGTCTGGTTGACATGGTGGTGTTAGGTCATAGCTCAGAGGTCTTTTCCAACCTGACTGACTCTGTGATTTTCTTCACTGTTGTTTCTCACTCTCTTTAGCCTGACATCTTCTTCGACGTTGTCAGCTTGTCAACGTGGCAGGAGGTCCTGACAGATGCCCAGCAAGAGCACCTCAAAAAATTCCTGCCTCACTTCCCTGAAAACAACAGAGAGCACCAGAACAAGCTCATCCTGACGCTGTTCAGTGGGGAGAACTTCCGATTCGGGAATCCGCTGCACATCGCCCAGAAACTCTTCCGCGGTCAGTGACCCTCGGTGTGGTTTGGGCTGAGTTCTCAGCTGGCAGTTGGAAGCCCCAGTGTGTGTGATGTGTGGTGTGCTTGTTGCAGATGGACACTTCAATCCGGAGGTGGTGAAGTACAGGCAGCTGTGCTACAAGTCGCAGTACAAGCGGTACCTGCGGTCCCAGCAGCAGTACTTCTGCAGGCTGCTCAAGCAGATCCTCGCCTCCCGCAACGTGAGTGTGCCCGGGGCTGGGAGGGTTTCTTCACACCACAGTGTCTTGGTGCTTGTGCACTCACAACTCTCAGAGGTCTTTCCTTTAATGAACTATAGAATCAACCAGGTTGGAAAAGACCTCCAAGATCACCAAGTCCAACCCTACCGTGGTCACTAGCCCATGGCACTAAGTGCCACATCCAGTCTCAGCTTGAAAACCTCCAGGGATGGTGAATCCACCACCTCCCTGGGCAGCACATTCCAATGCCTGAGCACTCTCTCCACAAAAAAATCTCTTCCTAATATCCAACCTAACCCTCCCCTGGCAGAGAATTTAATGAGTTATGATCCTGGTTTCCCAGTGGCTCTTACAGTGTGAGCACAGCAGACCTGTTGCTGTGTCTGCGGACTTCAGGTTTGGTAACTCTCTCTTGTGTGTAGTGTCTTTTTTTCCCTGCTCACCTTGTCCCCACTTGCTGCATTTGCCCCTTTACACTTTTCTGTCCTGTTAAATCATTCTGCCTTTTTTTTCTATCCTTTCTGTCATTCTGAAACAAGTGAAGTTGCTAAATATATATGTACTCCCCAACTTCACTGGGGACTGGTACAGGGTAGATCCAAAACTGGTTCTGATGAAGTCTTCCTTGGTGGGTGCTGCTGTCAGCTAATTGATTCCAACTGAAACATGTTTGCTGAAAATATTTGCTCACTTATCTTTCACTACACTTTGAAACATAGGGATGAAGATGAAAGTCTGTCTTATAGGAAATAGAATCCCAGACTGGTTTGAGTTGGAAGGAGCTTAAAATTCATCTATTTCCCACTCCCTGCCATGGGCAGGGACACCTTCCACTAGCCCAGATTGCTCCAAGCCCCATCCAACCTGCCCTGGAACACTCCCAGGGGTAGGGCAGCCACAGCTTCTCTGGGCAACAATACAGAATATTAGGAAGTTATTTCCTCTGTAGCATAAGAGGTAAACTATTTTCCCCAAAAGAGACAGTATTCCATGCCTATATTCCATATCTGGCATGAAAGCCTCACACATGGATCTCATGCCAGTGGTTAGGTTCTCCTCAGCAGTCCTCATAAAATGAGAGATATTGTTGTGTGTGCAGATGAAGGTGCAGAAATTTTGCCTTGATTTTTTTTTCCCCCTTTAAATGATGGTCTGAAATTTTGGATTTAAATCCTGGACACTGATCCCTGCTGAGGGTTATCTTACACACACCTGAGGTGCTCACGGCACCAACTCCACCTGGTAACCTTGCTGCAATTACCTGAGCTGAGCTTACCTGTCCTGGCTTACAGCACCATTGGTGACATAGCTAATGTCCTGTGCATCCCTTCTTCCAGCACCTGCTGGAATTAGCCAGGAAAGGAGGCCCTGAGATGACCCTGAAGAGAAAGCACTTCCCACCCACGTACGACTCAGAAGAGCGGGACAGACGGACACATCGGCGCTACCTGAAGATCCTGAGGGAAGTGAAGGAGGAGTGTGGGGACACCACCTTGTCTTCTGATGAAGAAGGTAATGCCCTGGGCTGAACTAAACACTTGAGGTGTCAGTGAAGAAAGACACATTTTTGATGTGGGGACTGTCTGTGACAGAAGAATGGAAACTGGACTCGAGTTTTACTAGACTTGAGTTTTGCTCTCTGTGATGAACACAGGGTAATAGAATACATAGATTGGTGATAGTTCTTGCATAGTAAATGTGTTTCTCTGTTTCAGAACTAATCTCTTGGCCTCCAAGTTCTCCAGCACGTTGTTCAAGTCCACCAGTTCCCCTGAGAGTGATCCCCACATTGTCAACCACAGACATGAGAACAGCAGGTGAGAACTGAACTAGGGCTCAACATGGATTTAGGGGCAGAATTGCTTTGAGACCCTGCAGGAAATCAGCTTGAAAAATCTGTTGTTTGATGGAAAAACTTGTAATGCTTCATTTTTGCAGTCTCCAAAGCACTTGGGGTGACCCTTGTGTCTCCTTCAAAGGGGTATGTGAACACAAGGATCACAATGTGTGTAATCCTACTGATTCCCTGGTGTATTTTGCCTTTAGTGGTTGAAGCATTAGCATAGTCCAGATTGAAATGTTTAGGAATCTCTCCTGTAATGGAGTCTGCAAACCCTTCAAGCTGGTTCTGGCTTCTTTTCTCTTCCATGCAATCAGCCATGAGATCTAGTGACCCAAGGAAGCATTGAAATAAACTGGTTGATTAAAAGAATGAAACTTGAAGAAAGAAAAATGAGTTACTGAACTTTGGAGATTGCTGGAAGTGGGAGTGGGTGGAAAGTTGCATTCTGTAAAGTCTGGAAAGTAATAATAATGGAAAAGTGTGGAAATAATACCTGATTTTTTTTTCCACTGCAGACAAGATAGAACTTGGGGAAAGTGATTTGAAGATGATGCTGAAGAAGCACCATGAGAAACGGAAACGTCAGCCTGTAAGATGTCAGAAAGTCTGGGGGTGGGACTGCATTTTGTCAGTCTTTTATCTGTTAGCCATCAGGCTCAAAACAATTGCTGCATTTTTGATGTGCAGCTGAGCCCTTTATTGTAACCTCAGTTCAGTTGTCAGTATACCAATGCAGCTCCTCATTGTGCTTAGCCAGTAAACAACAGTTGCAGTACATAACTTTATAAGCTGATCCCAGATTAGTTTGGGGCATTTCAGTACCTGGGTATTTCTGCATCCTTGCTGCTCTCTTAACACTTTGTCCTTTCCCAGTTTAATTTCTGTCCCGTTGTGCTAGGACCACCCTGATCTAGTCACCACAGACCTGACGCTTGAGGACATCATGTCTCGGGTGAATGCTGGCAGGAAAGGCTCCTTAGCAGGTTAGTGCCTTGGGCATGGTGTTTGTGCACTGCACAGATGTAGGGATTCATGTCTGGAGGGAAAGGCTGAGGGGGAAAGGGATCTGATAGATTGTTGTGTCCATTGCCTTTCTCATTTCATATTATATTTGGGTTAAAAATGAGAGGTTTTCTCTTGAGGACAAAAGTAAAGGTTCATGGCAGTGTCTGGGAAGGTGTGAACAAGTACACACAACATACATTCCTGGATATATATTGAAGTAGTTTATGACTCACTGAAATACAGGCAGAAGCTTTCTAATTACTCTTTTTACCTGTGATCATGTCTGCAGCTTTATTCGACCTTGCAACCCTCAAGAAAAAGGTGAAGGAAAAGGAAGATAAGAAGAAAAAGAAGCTGAAGGTTATTAAATCCGAGGTGGAAGATTTGGCTGACTCTCTTGGCAATGCAGATGGAATCACATCAATGTCTCGGGATCATTCTCCCCTCCCTCTGTCATCTGTCAAAGATGAGTAAGTGCTTCAGGGGGCCCTGGGCACCTGGCATGGATGGAGGGAGCAGCAGATGTTGCAGCTCAGGTTTTTGTGAGAGTTTTGCAGGCTTAGGATATGTGAAATGTGTAATGTTCATCTTTGTCTATGAAGGTGAGTGTTTACTCAGGGAACTTACTCTGCTTGTGTTCTCTTTCATTTGAAGGCCTCTGGAAGACATGAAGCCATGCCTTGGGATAAATGAAATCTCATCCAGCTTCTTTTTCCTTCTCCTGGAGATCCTGTTTCTGGAAGGACCTGCTACTCTCTCGGTGGTGAGGAGCTACCCACTTACCTAGGAATGTTTGCAGAATTAAAGGGTAGAGGGTTTTATTGCTGTGTAACGGTGATTTTTCCCCAGACTTGTCCTGTGAGATGTAGATTACATAGTAAAGAAATGAAACCTTGTGGGAGTGCCACCACATTCTGGTTTAAATAGGTTTCATGGATTTACTCGGCTGAATCTCTAAGTCTGTCCATACCCATTCCTTTGGTCTTGGTTAGGTATAGTCCATGGATTAAGGGCAGAGATGGGGAAGTGTTTTCCCCTTTTTTGGTGCTGAAATAGTGTTACAGTTATTTGGCAAAGTCAGGTGGTTTTTTACATACATAAAAATCTTTTTGCCCCTGGATGTGTTTAGCTGTTTCATGTTGTGTTAAAACAGTCTTGGTTTAAAGTGTAAGAGACTATTTCTTTTCCTCTTCAGCTTGAAGATAAAGTCCTTGACTGGCAATCTTCTCCTGCCAGTGCACTGAACAACTGGTTCTCCTTTGCCCCTAACTGGTCTGAACTGGTTTTACCTGCTTTGCAGTACTTGACAGGTGACAGCAGAGGTAAGAATAGCTGTTAAAACACTCATGATGCTTATACCTCTGTTCTAGTCAGTGCTGGTTTATATTACAGCTCAAATTAACTTTTAATCCATCTCCACAAGAAACCATTGCACTGCTGGCAGCAGCTCTGTGATAGGCCTTGTCACTTACATGTCTCAGTTGTGGTGGGCTTGGTTTGCATGTGGGTGGTAGATAAACCCCAGTTTGATTCCCAAGTATGTGAAAAATGTGTGTGAAATTGCCTCTGGACAGACAGTTTTTCCTGTTGGGATCGTGCTCTCCAGGCAGGATGTTTGAGGCAGGAAGAGATTAGTCTCTTCCCCCACGGAGTGAAGTCGTTGTGGTTGTCTTCAGAGATAATAAAAACTGAGCTGGATGATGCCCTGAGCAAGCCACTGGAGACATGAAACTTGCCAAGCTTTGACCTGGGGCTTGGACCAGCTGAGTTTCAGGCATTCCTTTCAAGCTGAATTATGCTGTGCTTCTCATTTGCTTAGTGGGAAGTTTAGCGGCAGAGATGGTGTAGATGATGGTGGTGTTTGCTGCATGGATACCTGATGTTCTCCATACCATAAATCCTGAGTGTGCTTCCCATGAGCCCAGGAACAGTCACTGTACAGTAAGAGCTCCTGGTGCCTCACAGCATGAACAGGCTCTCAGCTGACAGCCTGTTGATGGAAGGCTCATTATCCTGTTCTGTTCTTCCCCTGTGCTTGCATTCGTGCTGAGAGATGCTCACCTTCCCTTTGGGCAGGATAAATTTAGAGATGCACTTACATAATCACTTAAACTGCTCTGTCAGTATCAGCCCAAGTTGACAGCTTGCATTACCACAGCAGGATTTTGGGGTTGGACAGTTGTATGATGTGTCTGACAGGGATGTTTTTTATTGTAGATGCTCCTTCCAGCTTCTCACCTTTTGTTGAATTCAAGGAAAAAACTCAGCAGTGGAAATTGCTTGGTGAGTATCTTGTTCTCTTCTAGGGGTTCTATAACAGTAAAGGTCTGTTGTTTTCTCCAGGACTTCTACTTTTCAGCTCTCTGCGGCCTGGAGAGAAGCACAGAGCAGTTCATTATGTAGTTAGGCCTTTTCTTTTAGCTGAGCTGAGCTATGTTTTGGATTCAAGAATTTCACAGGACATCAGTATCAGCAGCAGGCAGAGCATAAAGGAGCAAAGGCTCTGAGCTGTATCTCTTTATGTTGCTGACTTAAGCCATGTTTGTCACCCTTCAAATCTGCCTGAATACCTTCACATTTTCCCTTTTGTAGAGTGTTATTCAGAGTAATTGTTGAGGATTACCCTTACAAATGAATTAACCCTCTCTGTGGAGCAAACTGAGCCTATGCTTGTATCTAAAAGTGGAAGCTGAAGAGCAAACTGATGGTCCATGTGCCCTGGCTCATACTGACTGAATTACACATCTTGTGTTTGTGTTCATTTAGCCACTAGGCAGAATTTTCCATTCTTGACTACATGGATTCTGGTGATCATATTTGCAGGCTTCAGCTGGCAGAGGTTTGGAGTCAGGAAGCTGTTCCTCTGGTCCCTTTCAGTTTGTGGTGGAGGCTTTGTAGGCACATGTTTCTTCTCATGGGCTCAGGGACTGGGGTTACTTTGGCGAGTGGGAACCACCTGCAGGGTTCAGGTGGCTGTGTCTCAGACAGAATCTTGCCTGCTGTGCCAGGAGTTGGAGCACTATCCTTTTACCAACAGTGGGTTTACACTGTCCTAAGCCTGGATGTGTCCTGGTGTTGCAATTGGAGCATCTGTGAAGTGGAGAAGGTGCCTTGGGACTGGAGATGCATGGAGGGAAAAGGAGTAGATGACTGGGAGGTACAAGCAACTAGTTTTGCAACAGTTAAAAGACTTCCATTTCTTACTTTTCCTGATTTTTTTTTTTTTTTTGACCAGGTACTTGCCAAGATCATGAGAAGGAATTGGCATCACTGTTTCAGCTCTGGTTGGAGACCAAAGACCATACCTTTTTCAAAGTGAGTTAGACAAAAAACACCTTTTAGCAGCACAAAACCTGAGTGAGTTCTATCCAGCTCTGACATTCCTCTCTTTCTCCCCAGGAGAATGATGACAGCTCAGATTCCATGCCAATGCCCAGAGTGTAAGTGTGTAATACTACCTGGAAGCTTCTGCAGTGTGTGTTGAAGGTGTGAGGTTTGGTCCTTGTGCCTCTGGAACTGAGTGGCTGGTTGGCACATCATTGGGGCAGGAGGAAACTTGACAGTCTGGTTTTATAATGCAGTAACTGGACTTCATAGAGTCAACTGATCTTCTCCAGATTCACATACATTGTCAGAGCAAAGCTGTAACCTAGTTTAGGTCCTGATAATGAGATTATTTACAGCATTACTTGCCTTCAGGTAGTGCATAGAGCATAATGTTACCATAAATGTAGAAGAAGAATGTGCAGGAGGATGAGGTGGCTGATCCTCTGGGATGTCTTTGGGACTGTTGTGGGCTCGCTGCTGCTCAGAACTGATGGTGACCTTTGTTTCAGAAGGACTGACTATGTAGTTCGGCCTAGCACTGGGGAGGAGAAACGTGTGTTCCAGGAGCAGGTAAGAAGATAATCCTCTTCATTTCAGAGACACATTTTGAGACAGTTGGTCACTGAAACAGGAGAGTTTGTATGGGATGTCAGTTGTATACTCTGCACAAACTGTTAGTCTGAAGAATTAGTGTTTCGTTAGCCTGAAGTAGGCATAAAATTCACTGACAACTTAGCCTAGCTGTTTGCTTCAAACACAGCAGTATTTCCTGTGGGTATTGGGAAAAATGAACAGATTGGTAGTGCCAGCCTCTCTATCTCCTCTGCCATCCCCCAGTGTATGAGAATGGTTTGTCTCTATTTTTGGGCAGGTATGAGTGCAGACAGAAGACAAGTGGCAATAACTGCACGCATACACGTAGTTATCTTCTCTGTAGTAGACACAAGTGGGAGCTGCAGGGTAAACACATGATGGGTGTTCTCCCTAGATACATCTGCAGGTGAAATTTTGGAAATCTCTTTTGCCAGACTGAAGGGGGAAGGAGTGTTTGCTGGGCACGAGGTGTATCTCTGGCACCTCTCTAGTCTGTGCAGCTGCTTCACACTGAACTTGCACACTTTGGTTAGGTGATGCTTTTGTGTTTGCCATTGAAGTAGTTTGTGCTTGTCTTGATCCAGACTAAGCTCACCTCAATGGCTTAGGTTATGATGCAAACATAGCACATGGTTTAAGAGTTTGCTGTGCCTGTGTCCTGCTGAGCTCAGTGCTGTGCTTGCCCCCAGGAGCGTTACCGGTACAGTCAGCCCCACAAGGCCTTCACCTTCCGCATGCACGGCTTCGAGTCGGTGGTGGGCCCTGTCAAGGGTGTGTTTGACAAGGAAACCTCCCTCAACAAGGCCAGAGAGCATTCTCTGCTGCGCTCAGACAGACCTGCATACGTCACCATCTTGTCCCTTGGTAAGGTGATGGCCAAAAATATTCCTTTAAAGAAGAAAATCTCTCCCCTGGCCCCTCAAACAGTGGCTTGGAGTTGAATGCTGTTCCCCGTGTTTGTCACTCCTAGCACAAAGCTGGCACAGATGATGTGCTTCAAGATGGTCCTTTATAATCTCCCCTCCTGTTTTTGAGGGCTCACAGGGGCTAGGTTTTAGTGAGCCTATGTTCTTGTGTTAACAGGCAGTTTCATCTTGCTCTGAGGTTTGCAGCTTACCCAGAATGTGTTGCATGAACTTCTCATGTAACTCTGGGGCAGCTATGTCCCTCTTTTTGTTTAGGAATGATTTGTGTATATCTTTATTTGTAATTTTTAGTACTTGAGGAATATTTAGGATTGTTAGGTCCTTCAGAATGAAAGATAGTAAAGTAAAATACTTTACTATCTAGATCTAAAGATAGAGCAAGTAGGCACTGAGAGAGAAGTAGTAACAGAGCAATTCCAAAATGTGTTCATAATTTCATAGTATATGAAGGGGTTGGAATGGAGCTTAGAGATCACCCAGCCCCAACCCCCTGCCCTGGGCAGGGACACCTCCCACCAGAGCAGGTTGCTCAAGGCTTTAGCCAACCTGGCTGTGAACACTGCCAGGGTTGGGGCAGCCACAGCCTCCCTGGGCAACCTGGGACAGTGTCTCACCACCCTCACAGGGAAAAAAACCTTCTTGCTCATACCTAATCTCTCTGCTGGAGTGCCTGCACAGAGCTGCCTGGGCACAGCTGCAGTGTAAGCTCTGGGTGTGTGTTGCAGTCCGTGACGCTGCCGCTCGCCTGCCTAACGGAGAGGGAACTCGTGCTGAAATCTGTGAGCTGCTCAAGGATTCCCAGTTCCTAGCTCCTGATGTCACCAGTGCTCAGGTAAGTTGGACGTCATGCCTGACCTCAGATTCTCGTAGAAATGCACTGCACAGACCCAGACAGTATCCAGTGGCTAAGGCCCAATGTCTTTTTGCTGCTGTGACTAGCAGAAGGCAGCTGTGTACTATGGTGAGCTGCTGCAAATCTGTGGATGATAAAAAACAGCTAGAAAAGCCACAAAGTTAACACTGTCATAGAGCTGTTCACACGTGGTGGATTCACTGTCCATGGAGGTTTTCAAGCTGAGACTGGATGTGGCACTTAGTGCCATGGTCTAGTAACCATGGTAGGGTTGGACTTGATGGTCCTGGAGGTCTTTTCCAGCATGGTTGATTCTATGATTCTATAATTATAGATTGAGTAGCTGTGAGTGTTCAGAGCTTTCAGCTTTGGTGGAAGCTCCATTTAATCCAAGATGGCAAACAGCGTCCTGTGCTGCAACATCTCCTCTCAGTCAGTTCTTACTCAAGTGGAGATTGCTCACAGTTTACTCAGGTTTTATACCAAGTAGGATTACTCTTCTGTCCATGACTTTTGGCTAGTCCAGCCAGGGCCATGTTGTCATCTGTGAATTCTGCACTTGCAGGTGAACACTGTTGTTAGTGGTGCTCTGGATCGATTGCACTATGAGAAGGATCCCTGTGTGAAATACGACATCGGGCGCAAGCTCTGGATCTACCTGCACAGGGACAGGAGTGAGGAGGAGTTTGGTAAGCCTCAGGGGTACCTTAAGGATGGAAAATGTTTGTAAATCTCTTGAGCTCCTTCACTCCAGATGAATAATGAACATTATTTTGCCAGTCTGGCTCTTTGCTCAAGTCAGTTTGTTACTTAGCCCATCAGCACTTACATCCAGCCTTGCAGAGCAGTGAGGCACTTTGAAGCACTTGCTTGAAAAACAACATCACATTTACAAGAACTGCATGTGTATGTTCAGTCACAACTTGCTTTTGTGTCTTATTTTCAGCCTTTTTGGCTAATTTTACTTGATATTTTTCTTTGCACTGTTCCACGACTGTGTGTGTTTGATTTCTTGTCTGAAGAAGAGCTTAGAGGTCTGATTTGGCCTTTTCAGTCACTTTGCTTGTGCTCAGGAGCTCTAACCATTAATTCCTACTTGCAGAACGGATCCACCAGGCTCAGGCTGCTGCAGCAAAGGCCAAGAAAGCTCTTCAGCAGAAGCCAAAACCTCCAGCTAAAATGGTAGATTTCTTTGCTTGGGTTTGCTTTTGGGATTGGGCAGGTTATTGGTCTTAATTTAATCCGTAAGTTCTGCATCCATAGCACGTGATGAAAATTGCCACGTACTTGAGTTACGAGTTAATTTTGTAGATGAATGTCAGTGCTGGTCCAGCACAAAATGAAGAAGGGAAGAGGGAACTTTTCCTCCTCCCAGCTTTCACTGTTATCCCAGCAGAAGGGGCACTGCAATTCACTGGTGCTCCCTGTATTAGGGATGGTCTCTCAGATCTAGTTTTGAGGTTAATCTGTAGCAGAGTGTGTGGAACACATTTCTCTCCCTTGCTCTGCTGGAACTGTCAGGGTTTGGATGTCTCTGGTGTTACTGATACCAAATATCTCTGAAGTTCTGGGAGTCTGCATGTTATGGCTGTTTGTCACAGCTGAGGTGCACTTTTCCCTTTGAGCAGGAGCAGCCAAACACAGGAGCCCACCCTTGACTGCAGCTGGGGAAGGCAGACAGCCAGTCTGATTTCAGGATTTAGCTCCAGGGCACCATTCCCAACCATTCAGAACTCAAAGTGCTCAGCCCACTGTGGGGTGCAGCAATCAAGCCCAGTTTTTGTGATGCTTGCTGTGGTTTCTTTGCAGAAGTCAAGTAGCAAGGAGAGTGCAGCAAAAGCTCCCCCCAGCAGCACAGCAGAGCCCAGTCAGCTGAGCCTCAGTGACTCCAGCATGCCACCAACCCCCGTGACTCCTGTGACACCGACTGCACCAGCACTGCCAGCAACACCCATCTCACCCCCTCCAGTGTCTGTGGTCAGCAAGAGTGTATCCAGTGCTGGGTCAGAGCCAGCAAAGCCCAGCCAGAGGTACTGCTTCTGTCTCAGATGTCACTGCTGAATGTTACTGCTTGTTTGGCAGCAGTTTGTGCAATTCAGTAATGAGGGAGTTGGGGTTGCTTAGCCTGGAGAAGAGGAGGCTCAGGGGTGACCTTACCACTTTCTACAACTACCTGACAGGTTGTAACCAGGTGGGGTCAGGCTCTGCTCCCAGGTAACAAGTGATAGGGTGAGAGGAATTGGCTTCAAACTGTGCCAGGGGAAGTTCAGGTTGGACCTTCTCTTGGAGAAGAGGAGGAGACCTCAGAGCAACCTGGCAGGAGCTGAAGGGGTTCCAGGGAAGCTGCAAAGGGACTCTTGGTTAGGAACTGCAGGGACAGGACAAGAGGTAATGGGGAGAAATTGAAAGAGGGAAATTTAGGTTAGGTCTTAGGCAGAAGTTTTTCCTGTGAGGGTGGTAAGACACTGTCCCAGGTTGCCCAGGGAGGCTGTGGTTGCCCCAACCCTGGCAGTGTTCACAGCCAGGTTGGCTAAAGCCTTGAGCAACCTGCTCTGGTGGGAGGTGTCCCTGCCCAGGGCAGGGGGTTGGGGCTGGATCATCTCTAAGCTCCGTTCCAACCCCTTAACAATCTATAAATCTGTGACATTAGGAGGAATTTCTTCACAGAAAGTGTTGTTAAACATTGTAATGTGCTGCCCAGGGAGGAGGTGGAGTCACCATCCCTGGAGGTGTTTTAAGGAGAGACTGGACATGGCACTTAGTGCTCTGGTCTAGCCAACATCGTGGTGTTAGAGCGTAGGTTAGACTCGATGCTCTCAGAGGTCTTTTCCAACCTGAGTGATTCTATAACTTTCTTACACCTCTGCTAACCTACTGGCTCTCTCTTTCCCCCAGTGTTCTCCTGGTATCATCCCCCACCATGCCTCAGCTGGGGACATTGCTCTCCACGGCGCAGAGCTCGCAGGCCCAGCCCGGGACGGCGCCCACCCCGCGCGTGGTCAGCCACAGCAGCTCCTCGGGGCTGCCCCAGGTGAGGGTGGTCACTGCCCAGCCCAGCCTCCCTGCCGTGCCCCAGCAGGCCCCAGTGGCCACCCAGCAGCAGCAGCAACCCACAGCAGTGCCTCAGATCCGTGTTCCAGCCACGGCCACGCAAACCAAAGTGCTCCCCCAGGTGAGTTGGGCTGCGTGGGGTGCTGGGGTAGCTCTGGTGTCTAGTCTGATCACTTCTGGTGTTTTGGTGTGTGCTCCCTTTGAACAGAGCACAGAAACAGTTTTACATACACAATACTCTCCAGTGCTCTATTTTCACCTTGTTGCCTGTTCATTTGGCATCATCAAATTTTGCCTTGCATAAAAACTCCATAGTAGAACTTCGTCATACAATCACAGAATTGTTAAGGTGGGAAACTACTGTTAAGATCATTAAGTCCAACCATCAACCCATCGCCACCACTATGTTCACCACTAAACCATGTACTCAGCTACCACATCCACATGTTTTTTTGAACACTTTTAGGGGTGGTGACTCTGCCTGGTCTGTTCCAATGCTTTATAACTCTTTCTGTGACAAAACTTTACCTAATATCCAACCTAAACCTCCCCTGGCACAAGTTGAGGCTGTTTCCCCTTGTCCTGTCCCTTGTTACCTGGAGAAGAGGCTGAATGCCACCTGCCTACAACCTCCTTTCAGGTAGTTGTAGAGAGCAGTAAGGTCTCCCATGATCTTGCAAGCTGGGGCACAATCCAAAGGATTATTAGATTGGTCATACTGTGTTAGTCTGCTCAAAGGCTTCTTCCATGTCTTCTGTAGGCTGTGATGACTCTGCCAGTGAAAGCTCAAACCAGCCCTGTGCAGGTGCAAAGAGCAGGAAGCTCCGTGGCAGGACAGGCAGGTATCACTGTGACAGGGCTGTCTGCAGCACCCAGTCCTGCTGTGAAGCCAGTGACCAGCTCTCCAGGCAGTTCTGCTGCAAGCACCTCCTCCACCACTGTCATCCAGAACGTAGCGGGGCAGAACATCATCAAGCAGGTGAGAGGGAGGGAGACACAAGGAATTGGGCTCCATGACCTGGTGGTTTCCTGCTTGTTGTGGCAGATGTGACACACAGATGTGAGCACTGTAGTGAGCTGTAATGTGAGTTGATGGACAGTTAGGCATTGCTGGTTTGGTGTGTTTGAGCCTTGTTTTCACCTACAGGTGAAACATGTTTGTGCAGATTCTCTACCTATGTGTCTTCAGATGTTGACCTCTTAATTCATCTTGTTTGGAAAGGGAAACAGCTCCACAGTATTTCCTATTTCGTATGGGTTTGGGACTGATGCACAACCAGAGCTATTTTCAGTACACTCCTGAGTGCTAATGTCAGCCCACTTTGATTCCAGTGGGAGCAAACATCATCCTGTTGGGAAGTTCTGCTTTGAGTGTGCAGAACTGTGTCCTGATTTGATGCAGGTGTTTCTCTGCTCTCTCCCAGGTGGCTATTACAGGACAACTTGGCATGAAGGCCCAGACTGGCAGTGGGATCCCCCTCACAGCAACCAACTTTCGGATCCAGGGGAAGGACGTGCTGCGCCTGCCGCCGTCGTCCATCACCACGGACGCCAAGGGGCAGACCGTGCTGCGCATCACCCCGGACATGATGGCCACCCTGGCCAAGTCCCAAGTCACTACTGTCAAACTGACTCAGGACCTCTTCACAGCAGCTGCAGGAAGCAGTGCTGGAGGGAAAAGCATCTCTGCCACTTTGCACGTGACATCCAATCCTGTCCAGGCTGCTGATTCTCCAGCCAAGACTAGCACGGCCACTTCTGCTTCTTCCAGCCCAGCTGGAAGCACAGTGGTCAAAGTGACTCCTGACTTAAAGACTGCAGAGCCAACGAGCTCTGCCTTCCGCCTGATGCCTGCTCTGGGCATGACTGTGGCAGATCAGAAGAGCAAAACCATAACTACAGTGGCATCCACTGAGGCCAAGCCAGCTGCTACCATCAGGATCGTGCAGGGGCTGGGGGTGATGCCCCCCAAAGCTGGGCAAACCATCACTGTAGCTACTCATCCTAAGCAGGTGCCCTCGTCTTCAGCAGTGAGTGTGGCTGGCACAGCCCACACCTCAGCTGTCTCCTTGCCCACTGTGAGTGCCACAGTGTCCAAAGCAGTTGCTGTGGCCTCGGGGGCTGCAGGGACCCCGATAACCATCGGCACAGGAGTGCCTGTCAGCACCACCGTGGTGTCCACGTCCCAGGCAGTAAGTAATGCTGAGCTGACACTGCAGGGGGCTGAGGAAGGGAATGCTGAAATATCCTGATGGTTTGTGGCTGGAAACTTCTCTTTACAGCCATTAAGTGTGGTAGAATCACAGCATGGTTTGGGTTGGAAGGGACCTTAAAGGGTCCTCGTCCCATTCCACCCTCTGCCATGCGCAGGGACATCTTCCTCTAGCCCAGGTTGCTCCAAGTCCCGTCCAACCTGACCTGGAACACTTCTAGGGATGGAGCAGCCACAGCTTCTGTCCTGAATCTGGGTCTGCAGTGCATTTCATGGGTTTAGATTGTAGCTAAATGCCCCCCAAAAGGTCAGATACATCTTCTCCCAGGCAACCAGCAGCAGGACAAGAGGGCACAGACTCAAGCTCTGCTAGGGGAGGGTTAGGTTGGATATTAGGAAGAGATTTTTTGCAGAGAGAGTGATCAGACATTGCCATGGGCTGCCCAGGGAGGTGGTGGATTCCCCATCCCTGGAGGTTTTCAAGCTGAGACTGGATGTGGCACTTAGTGCCATGGGCTAGTGACCACAGTAGGGTTGGACTTGGTGATCTTTGAGGTCTCTTCCAACCTGGTTGATTCCATGATTCTGTGATTCCCTTCTCTCCTCTTGCAAGTGAATGAAATAAACTTCATACATCTCATGTCCTGCCTCATGCAGCTCAGTGTCTTGCCCCACACCTTGGGAATAATTTCCCGTGGAATGGTGGCATAGAACATTCAGAGCTAGGAGTGCCTGTAACTTGTATTAATACCTTTACTGATTTCCCCTTTTAATGCCCAAAAGGCACCATCAACTGTATGGTGGTAGTTACATAAGCTAATTGACACTATGATAGCTTCCTAAGGATAAAAATCATGGATATTGTGGTGCAAACTGCTGTGGGTTTTCAGAGCTCAGGCAGCTGTGTAATGAGTTTGAGGTGCATTTTAACGAGCACAGATTTCATCAGCAAAGCTGCTGTTGGTTTCTGCTCCCAGGACTCCTACAAAGTAAGCTGAGTGGTAATTGCATGTTGTCAGGCAGTTTCTCTGCTGAACTCCCTGTGGTTCCTCACGTGTTCTTCACCTTCTGCAGGGCAAGCTCCCAGCACGGATCACGGTGCCTCTGTCGGTGATCAGTCAGCCAGTGAAGGGCAAGAGTGTGGTCACTGCCCCCATCATCAAGGGCAACCTCGGGGCCAAGTGAGTGCTGCTTCTGCTCCTCTAGAAATGGGCTGAGGAAGGTCTGTGTGCAGTAGGTTCCTGGGGAGTGAGCAAGCAGAGGGTGGAAGAGAATTGCAGCCTGCTAATAGGTCCATTAGCTGCAAGGAACTGAATGAATGTGGTGTCTGCAATAAGGTTATGGTCTGTGTTTAGGGGCCCTGAGACACAGGTTGTAGCAAATACACTGAAGCAAAAACATTCTTTGCCTTGAAACCAGCTGCTAGATTAGTTCTGTGTGTTTGAGCAAGAATTAACCCAGTGACACAGCTGAAAATATCTGTAATTTGAAGCCATCTCTCCATTCAAGAGGCCAGAGAAGTGTTAACTGCCTCAGTGAAAATTCCTCTGGCATTCAGATATCAGTCTTGCTGTTTATTCTTCCATGAATTCTGATAGTGTCTCCCTTAGCTAATATTCCAGGGCAGAACAGTGAGTGCTCAGCTGTTTGCTGCACTGAGAACTGTTCAGGTCTGGTCAGGCTAACCCAGTGATGCACATGGTCAGAGTTAGAGGGTGTAATTCAAGTGATAAATTAATTCTCTATCACAGTGATAAATATTGACATAAACTTGTCACTTGTATCTTTGCCAGTTTTGGAGGGGGGAACCCACTACTTAAAATCATTAGTAAATGAGGCAAGAGCTCTATCTCCCTAGCAACTGCAGAGCAGTTTGTGAGTCACAGAGCTGAGCCTGCTGTGCTGTTTACTAACCTTCCAACAATTATTTTTCCTCAGCATCAGTGGATTAGGTAGAAATATCATCCTGACTACGATGCCAGCAGGGACTAAACTGATTGCTGGGAACAAGCCAGTGAGTTTTCTGACTGCACAGCAACTGCAGCAGCTGCAGCAGCAAGGCCAGGCCACGCAGGTAAGGGCACCTACAGTGATCATTTCATTTACTTTTTTATGGCTCAACACCTCTCTGAGAACTTTGCACTTGATCCATGGGGATCCAGAAAAAGAACAGGCACACAGCCTGGCTGTAGTGTCTGCATTAAGTCCATCAACTCCTTTCCTTTCCCTTCATCCAAGTAAAGGTTTGGAAGTATAATGAATGTAAACCAATTAATCCTGTCAGGATTGTTTCTGTACACTCAACACTTCTTGTAGTGCTTTGTGCTTTGGTTTCTGTGGGTCACTGTTTCTTGAAGCAGTCGCTTCACTGCTGTGCATGTCCACCTTTCTGTCTGGAAGCTTAGTAATCTCTAAATCCAAAGTGTTATCTGCATTGAGAACTCCTAGTAACAAGTCTGTATAAGTGAGGTATCCAATGGATCCAAGTCCTTCCTGTGAAAAGGTGTAAAAGTAGCTGACGTGTAGGTTTTTATTTAAACTAGTTTTTAGGTCTTTCCAATCTGGAAATCTCCTGCCACCATCCCATGTGGACAGAGGATGGAGTGATCTTCTCATGGCAGATTCTGTTATTGAGGGGGTTTGGTGCTGGATTTTCTTGGCAGCAGAAGCAGTTTCCCAGAGCATGGTGCAAGTGCAATGTATCACTGGTGGTTCCTGACAGGAGTTTTTTCCTTTGCATTTCCAACAGGTGCGAATTCAGACAGTTCCAGCCTCCCACCTCCAGCAGGGAACAGTCTCTGGCTCTACTAAAGCAGTGTCCACTGTGGTTGTGACAACAGCTCCATCTCCAAAGCAGACCCAGGATCAGCTATGAACACTGGTTTGACCATGGACTGCTTTCTAAGGACTCCCCTGAGCCTGTTGTCATCCTCCATCCAACCAACCACCCAGGGCTGCCTGACCACAGCCACAGCCAGGGCCTGGAGTCAGCACTGTGCTGTCTAGGCAGAAATTCCACAGAGAGAGATGCTGTACCTGCAAACAGAGTGTAACACCAGGTTCTGTGGCTTTGATCATTTAAGAAATGTCTTCCTGTTCTTTGTTCTCTTCCCATCCAAAGGGCTCCTGGCAAATAGCATTTCTGTGTGGTTTGGGTTGTGGACAAAGCAGTTGTCTTGGGTCTTCCTTGTGCAGAGAAACTTGCTTAGAAGGGAGAATTCAGTGGCTTCTCAAAGTCTCCTTGTGCTGGAGTCTGGATGTCTCTGCTGTGATCTAGTGACAGTGGTGGCTTGGACACCTGAGTTTGTTGTGACATAGCCTGGAAATAGATCCCTAAAACAGTCAGTGTGCTATTTATAGACTTTTAAATACCTCTCCCCTCCTCTGAGCTCAGACTCCTTTTGAACAGATCCCACATCCATGTCAGGTGTCTGTCAAAGGCAGGTGAGATTCGAGGTGGTTTTTGCTCTAAGGCAGCAACTAACCATGGGGAGAGGGAGAAGAGAAGAATGTCACTGTGTGAACAAGTCTGTCAGCAAATGGGAATGTAAAAGAAAGGAAAAAAGAAGTTGTTCACCAGAAAGATCCTCTTAGATTTCCTCAACAAATAAACCTTTTTATCAGTGAAAAAGGCTGAGGCTCGTTGTAAAAGTTTGGAATATGTTTTTAGATATCCCAAACTCTCTTGAATTCTCAAGAAATGTTTTAACCCATGACCCAGCCTTTAGTTGTGTTTTTACCTTTGCAGTTTTATCTCTCTATGTAAATTTATTTGAATTTTGCACATAACAGAGATGAATTTGTGACTGTTCTGACATGACCTTGCAGCTGAATGACATCAAAAGATGTGTTGGACCAGGAGAAGAATAAAAGTGCAGAAAGCCTTACAGATCTCTGCCACCTCATTTGGGTTCTGTGCATCATGTCTTGTGTACATTCACTTTCCAGCTTGCCAAGGGCTAAGAGACTGTCCATCTTCTAAGATGATTCTTTTTCTCCTGATTTATTTTGTCTTTTTTTTTGTTTTAAAGACATGGTTTGCTCCAAGGTATGGGATATAATGTATTTTCAGCCCCAGGGTGTACAGCTGAGGGCTGTGGTGGCTGGAGCTCTCTGTGTTGCTGCTCAGGACCACCTCACCTGAGCAGAGCAGGGTTTGCTGGGCCTCAGGCTGGGGAGGGTGGATCTTTCTGTACAGTATCTAACCCACTTAAGGATAGGTTGAAGGAAATTGGGTATTTCACTAAGAAAAGTAGTGACTGGATGTAAATACTGAGCAAGCAGGACACGTCAGTACAGCATTTGAAGGTAAGTGCTTGAATTGTGGCTCAAATGCTTCAGGAAGGGAATTTGAGGTGCAAAAGGCTTTCTGTCCTGCTTGGTCAGTTTGGTACTTTTTTGTGCATTTAAGGAGCCAACAGAAAGGATGTGATTTGGGAGGGTGTTCCTGAGTCCTTTGAGTTGGGCAGGTAAAATGAGACATTAAAAGAGGCAACAGGCAACTTCCTGGTATTGCTTGTGTGAAAGAGCCTCTAAATTCAAAACAAAATCAAGATAATCTGCTGTGTTAGTTCTGTTCCTAACAAAGTTGTGCAGTGTCCAAACCTACAGCCAAGTGATGAAGGATGGTCAGAGTGAAGCCTTTTGGATTTCTGTCAGTCCTTGTGAGTCTCACTGGACTCAGGAGGCTTTGGCAGGGCTGAACAAGAAACCTGCACCTCATCCAGGAGTTCAGTGTGTCTCAGGTGGGTGCTGCTGCTCTTAAGACTTTTGCTGTTACCAGCACCATTAGCCTTTGCTAAACTGGTTACTTATATGAACAACCTTTGCATTCCTTACTGCTTCTCTTGGGTCCATTCTCTCTACTTTTGGAGTCTGATCTTCAGGGAAGCTGCATCAGGCTCTGGGCGAGCTGCTGACTTTGAATGGCCACGTGCTGGGTGAGGGAGAATATGTCCACTCCCCACTTCTGAGAACAAAGTACATCCTGTTGTGGTTGAGCTGCTCTGCTCTGGTTGAAGAGTAACCCTTCAGCTACTGCAGTCAAGAGCTCTTGTTTTTAATAAGTAACCTTTAACTCCTACACAGTAGGCTGAAGGGCAGAGAGGGGCTCCAGTGCTGCTGTGGTGTGTGCTGGGGCTGGGTGAGGGCATGTTTAAGGTGGACTCTATTCCAGGTGGTGTTTGTTCCTACAGCCTCTTGCTCTGGAGCCTGAAAGCTGTTCCTGATGAGTACTGCAGCAAGAGCTGCCAGGGCAGTGTGTGTGCAGGGGAGGAAAGCCTGGAGAAAGTATTTATCCTGCCATTAACCAATTTCCATCTGTCTTGCCTGAAATCAGAGGAACATTCAGCCTGATGCATCTTTGCCATTACCTTTTTTAATTAGCAAATGAAGTACAGCCTGGCTTTGCCCCAGTGAGATGCTCAGTAGACTTAGCCAAGAGCCTTATTTCCTGAAAGCTGTGGATTAGATGTTTATTTCCACCAAGAGACTATTTGTGAACCCTGCTTACAAGCACTGAGCATGCCACACAAACAGCCACAGGCCATTAAAAACCTTTCTGACTTTGATTTTTATCAACTGCTCTGTTTCATTTCAATCCTGGGGGGAAAGTGTTTTTATATACCTCAGCAGGAGCCCTCATAACCCAGTGAACTCACCTTGAGGTTACCTCGGGTGTTCCTTTCAAAAGGAATTGGTGATTGGATATCAACCTGTGTGTTTTAACAACTGATCTTTGTTTTCTAGAGAACACTGGCATTGTTTTTAAGTAAATACAAACCCCTTGTTACTGGTTTTCCACGTGGCAAACCTGAACCAGGGAGACCAGAACACAATAGACACAGCTGTAGTGCCTGGTGTGAGTTGGGGATGTGGTGCCTGAGCTCAGGACCCTCCTGGCTTGGTGCTGTTCATCCTGCAGGATGACAGTCTGGAATTTAGACTTCTGCCCCACAACCTTCAAGACAGCAATTTGTTCCAGACTGGAGAGAGCTGTGGGGAAGGGAGGATGATTTCCTGGGTCCTTGCTGGAAACTGGCTCCAGCAGGAAGGTGGTTTAATACTGTAGTTGCCCCAAAGCAGCTGACTTATCTCAATCTAAGATTTACCTGAATCCCAGTCATGTGTGTAGATCCAGAGATGGTAATCTGGAGTAATCTTTGCTAACTTGTGCATTGAAGTTCTAGGTAGGTACAGCTGAATTTCTCCCCCTAGACTCCATTTGCAGCCACTGATCCCTCCAGGGGGCAATTCATTTGGGCAATCCCTCCTGTTCCTGTAGGGTGAATCACTCTCTGGATAATAACCATTCTGTCCTGTGGACTGCAAAAAGAATTTTGCATGAGTAGTTCGAATTTTGGTCATTAATGACTTCATTTAGGGGTGACGCAACTTATGTCAAGTGACCCGTTCGTGTGGATGAGTTCATCTGCACCTGGAGTCATCCTGCACATGGCATCCTGCACTGAGGCCTGAAAACTGCTAAATCAGAGGGAAATATTTTAAGAACTAAGTTGTTTACTTCCCTCTGGAAGGATCACCAAACCACTTTGCTGAGTTTTGCATCTGTATCTTCGAACCGTCTTGCAACAGTTGGAACAAAATAACTCTCCTGCCAGAACCAAGATCCTTGAAGCAGAAACATGCTGGACCTTCAGAGCTCCAGGATCAGGTGGTTCCACAAAGGCACTTAAAGAGCAGAAGGTGCCAACCAAATCCAGGAGGAGCATGGATAAGTGGCTGTGCTGCCCCAGAGCAAGGCTGTCACAGCCTGGGTAATAGCAGAGCAAACCTGCTGGAGGTCACACTGTTCTCCCTGCTTAAGAGCACAAGGACCTGGAGTACAAGAGTACAGGAGAACAAGGACCTGGAACTGAGGACTTGCAAAGGTGCTGGCATTGTTTGAAACTTGGTAAGTGGCTTAAACATGTTTGTGTGTCATTCTGAATAAATTTTTGGCAGCAACAAAAGCTTTTTTCAGTTTGTGCTTGGGCTGCTTGGTATTAGCAAGACATACATGCAAAAATGTGCCTCTGTACATAGAAAAATATGCTTGGTTACTCAAAAAAATGGTATTTGCACTGAGGGCTTTTTAACTGCTTAAGCAAGTTGCTTGTAAGTCAGGCTGTGGTGAGAATTGCTCCTGTGTGCTCAGTTATACAGTGAAATTGTGTGACACAGTCACAAGTCACCGCAGCTTTATGAGGTACTCACCTCCCTCTGCACTGCTTTGCTCCTGTCAGGAAGGTGTTTCATGGCTGGCATGGCATGAGGAGCAATGACAAGCAATGACTTGGTCAGCTTTTAGCAGTGCTCCTGTACTGGAAGAGCACTTCCCACTTGGACTGGCCCCTGGAATGGCTGTGAAGGAATCTTACACAAAGCAGAGGGAGCTGCTGCCTTTCCTGTCAATTTAGCATCTCTGTAGGAAGCTGATACCTCACCAAGTATCCTAAACTTACCTGGGTGGGTGTTCCAAACCTGTGCCTGGACAGCTGGGAGGCAGGAAGGGCTTCATGTGCAAAGCTGAGGATTTCCCCCAAAGCCCTAAGCACTTCCTTGGTGCAAAATTGTCACCCAGTTCTTTTGAAGGACAGCACAAGAGCTTAGCCTGTGTTTTTAGACAGCTGTGACCAGGAGAGCCCTTGGTCAGAGGGATGAGTCCTTTGTAATTAGAAAGCTGAGTTAGTGCTGGTTGATAGGATTTGTTGTACTTTTGTTTTTCACCTTGTGCCGTGGAGGTGAGTCAAAGTGGTGAAAGGACTCTGTTACCTGCTCAGAAAGCAAACCCAGCAGCTCCTGCCAGTGGGAAGAAAGCTTTCACTGCATCCATGCACCTGGATTTTAACAGTCAAGAATTACCAGAGTTTCCAGGAGGGCTGGATTTAATACCTGCTTATATTTTCCTGCTTTTTTAGACTCTTAAGTCAAGCATCATCGAGAGCAACAGCTCATGGGTGGGAACAGTGGTTCCCAGCTCACTGA